GCCAGATTCCTGCCATGTGTAAACTCACTCTTACAGCTTCATGGTGGTGACATTGGTACAGCAACAGCAAATTACTTCTTCTGCTTTGAATCTGGGGGTAAATTAGTCTCTGGGTTAAAATTTAAGGTATTTTCTGAAATCAGAAATATTTTTAGGAGCACTAATTGTCCCACTGAGCACAACTAATGGTTTATCTGATAAGGCAGGTCCTAATAAGAGAATTATTCTATTTAGAAAGATATTAATGAAACATGTCTATAGTTAGGTTATTTCTTCTGCCTGTAATATGGAAACACGGGGAATTTGCAAGTGAAGGGCGCTGTACTGAGGACAAATGGAAAGAATTGCACTGTTGCATGGGGCTCTGTTGCCTCGTGCTTTCGTTGCTATGGGATGTAATTCTATTACCCACTGTACTGTTAGATTTCAAAAGGGTAGTTCATAAGCACTAATAACATTTGTGGCAATCTGAGCTAAGTTAATGAAAAAGATAATCAGATCTAATGCTACGGGGCAAGATATCTGATATCTCTGGGGGTCATAAAGAGATCATACAGCTGTCTCAGGGCAAGGGGTGGTTGTATGTGTGAGTGCAGGAAGAGGCAGGAGGCAGCAGAAAAGTGAGGGTCACCTTGCTCAGGAGCACTGTGTGCTGGTCACTGGCAGAGGCAGGAGGAGATTGCTAGATATGTCACAGAGATGGAGACGCTTATTAAGCTAATGATATTTTTAGTAATGCCAATACCTAATAGATAACATTCAACTGATCCCAGACATTTGTCTCAATGTGTTGATTGGGAAATTGGATTAAGTAGGCAGGCATATACTCAGTTGGGAGCTGATCATGCATGGCATTGAAATAGCCTTTGGAATTTTGTTTTGGTAAACACAAGTTTCAATCTGAAACTCACTTCTGAAGCAAATGTGTTTTATTGTGTCTCTAGACAATACCCAGTGGRGACTTTTCCTTGCTTCTAGCTATAAACACTGAGATTTTTGTGTGAACTGTTTCACCACCCCATACTGGTGTTGAGCATCCAAACAGCAGCTCGTGCACTGACCAGTAATAGGATCAGTGCACRTGTTCCTTGTAGGAATGCAGCTGATAATGTTCAGCACGGGACACTTGCAATAGGAATTGTAGCCAGCACTCAAATAATGTTTCCTCTCTCAGACTCGTGCTGTATTTWTTGCAAGTACCTCCTTCATCCTACTGGGCATTTTTGTACCTTCACTGTTAGCATTCTTCTATTTCTACTACTGTTCCCTTTCACACAGATCTACTTCTGACTACAGAATCTACTTTTGTCCTAGTTTTGGTCAAGGACAGGGTTAATGTTCAGCAGTAGCCAAGAGGAGGCGGAGCCTGGAGTCMTGTGGGTGTGTCWAGGTTGTKATTCCATACCATCCACTTCACCACGGGGAGGCAGAAGAAAGGGATTCTCACTGCTAAGGAGGATAATGTGGTTTATTGGCACTGCCAATGCCTTTTGCTCCATTCCTCAGGCAGCAGAGTGCTGGCCACAGTTTGCTTTCACCTGGAGGGGCACGAAATACGCCTGGAACCGACTGCCCCGGGGGCTGAAGCGCAGTCTCACCTTTTGCCATGGACTCATCCAGACTGCACTGGAAAAGGGTGAGGCTCCAGAACACTGCAATTCATTGATGACATCATTGTATGGGGCAACGCAGCAGAGGAAGTTTTTGAGAAAGGGGAGAAGATAACCCAGACCCTCCTGAAGGCTGGTTTTGCCCTAAAAAAAAAGTAGGATTAAGGGACCTGCCAAGGAAATTCAGGTTTTAGGAGTAAAACGGCATGGTRAACATTGTCACATTCTCATGGATGTAGTCAATAAAACAGCAAAATACTAGCTATAGCCCCACCAACCAGCAAGAAGGAAACACAGTTTTCTTATCTCTTTGCTGTTTCCACTAAATTTTTCTTAACTCAGGATATCTGCCCTTTGTCTGTTTCAYTGGAGGGAGGGGAAGAAGGGGAGCGGCTCATGGTTTTCATTTTAGTGAGAACACTAAATGAGGRAATTCCATTCCTAAACCCCAACAACAACCCCTACCAAATCCTAGCCACGAGAGGACATCAAGTGCTGCAGCATGTGTGTTTATATTGCCAAAAGATGATCAGGAAAAACAAGAAGGCTAAGGACTGCACAAAAGGGTCCCTCCTTCCATGTCTTCCTAAGCCTTTTTTTTCTTCTGAAGAACAACAACTATGCATAGAATTTAATGGGAAATATTGAAGGAAGAATTTTTGGGCCAGAAGGTTTTACTATGTTGGTCTGTATCTTTTAGGAGTGCTTACACATTTTTCATGCAGTAATRCTGGGGCACTTTGACGTTCTAAAGAGTTGTATTTCTACCAACGTTTTCTAACTTTTTTTCCATGTTTGCAAGAAAAGCTTCATTAATTCCTAGGAGTAGGATTATTTGTAATGTTTCTTCTGACTTTTGAGAATCAATAAACCACCAAAAATCCAGCTGCTAGCCTTTAKGGTTTACTGTAGAACAGAAGAAATAATTGCAATAAATTTTCTTGAACTTGTCATGATGATAATAATAATCACATTTCAATAAAGCTTGGATTGAAAAAAATACCTAACAAAAACTGATTGAAATCTACCATACAAAAACTGATTGCTTCCACCCACTCTTTCCCACAGTTCCTTAAGACATCACCATGTTTGAATGTCTACAATATAGAGTTATTTAAACTAAATTAGGTTTTAATTAAACAACATAGTGTGGGGTTTCTGTGGGGCTGAAGTTCAACCTAACAATTTTCAATATGTAACACCAAAGAGATTTTGCTTAAATTAATACCATAGGGATTTTAATTTAGCTTTCTTTCTTTCTCTGTTCTACAAAAGAAAAATTATTATCACCTCTAAGAAAGTCAAAGTTATTCTGGTACAGTAAGCGATTACAAAATTTCCAGCATTGTAAACAGAGGTAGTTATTTTAAACAACATCATTCAGCTTTCTGTACTGCTCTCTCTCTTTCAGAACCGTCTCTTCATAGCATGGATTTTCAGCTGCAAAGCATCCAGATCCTAACTTATGTGTACGTGAATATTCAAGGTTAATATATTTCCCGTGGGAGAAACAGTCAGTGCCATTCAGACTACATTCTGTTTTTCTCCGTTCCTCAGAGTAGGCTGTGAAAATGGGTCTGATGAAATTGTAGGTTCCTTCTCTAGTCTCATTAATTAATTTAGTGTTTCTAGTTGGGATTAGGTAAAGTACCTCTCCTCATGACTGGACAGCCAGCAGGTGAGACAAATGAGTTTAAATATCTACTCTAAATCAAGGAGAGAGAGGATAAATTTACTTTTTTTTCCCCTACATGGTAGTTGTTTCTATTCCTGTAGAGTGTATGGGGCCCAAATCAACAACCCAAGCACATGTCTCAGGTCACAAATTGACTGAAGGATAGGGAAGACAAGATTCATGGCTTGGATTTTCAAGCAAATTTTCCTCTTAGCCAGAGGTA